AAAAATTAGCAATAGTTTCACCTTATGTATGCCCCCCAACTCCACCTAAAATCTAACCTAAGCTATATTATTATTATTATTATTATTATTATTATTATTCTTTCCACCACAAGAACCTATTCGTAGCCTGAAAGCTATACCGGCAAACACATCCTCCCTTTGGGGGCGGTTTGCGTAAATTATCCAAAGTATGAGACTCAACATCACACCAACCGAGATCAAAGCCAAACCAACATTCACTGTACGAAGATGGTGCTCCAATGGAGGGCAGTAGCCTGAGGTGATTTTTACGAATGTGTCCCTCACGAAATCACAGTTCTGCAGACTAAGTAATGGTGGGGCGTAGTGTTGCAGAGCGTAGCTAACATTAACAGCTGCCACTAATTCTGCATACATTTTCGGAGTTAGTCTCCCGACTGTAGTGCAAAGTCCATCTGCTGAGGCCAAGCACGTGTAGTTCTCCCAGACCTGTGTTCATGAAAAATAATAACAATAATAATGATTATATCAACTAAAGTTTGCAATTTGATGACGATAACTTATAGCGTAACTAGAGATAGTTACAGAAACTTCCCTTGAGGCTTTTAGTGTAAAAAATGAGAAAATTCCACATATATTTGGTGTAATTATAGAAGTACCCGGCATATTTTCAAAATTAGTCATCTATATTGCCCACTTTCCATTTTTAGTCCTCGATATTGACCCTCATCAACCTTTATACTATAAATTGGTAACATTTTTTTTTCTCAATTTCAGTCCCTTTTTTATCCGCAACCTGGATAAAAAAGGGACAATATAGAGGACCAATTATGAGAAAAAAGGACCAAAATTGAGAAAAATATCAATTTATATGGACAAGTGTCGATGAGGGTCAATATCGAGGACCAAGAGTGGAAAGTAGATAATATAGAGGACCAATTTTGAAATTCTACCAGAAGTACCCCAAGTGGGTTGTACTTTTGTTAGATGGTAAACCAAATGTTATGGGTGGACTTTTGTAACTAACACGAGTTATTTACAACCCAAGATCACGTTTATTTTGCTACCAAATAATCGATACTCGTGTTTCTCGTTTAATAATGGTCATAAAATTTCTACCATCATTTCTACCAAATAACTGATTTCTGCCTTGATGTCCCAAACCTCAATGGATGATTACTAAATTAAGAAAATTAACTTAATTTTTCTTAAAATACTGAAGTTTCAAAACAGTTGACATAAATATTCTATCATTCTTCTCATATTAGAATAAGTAAACAAAGAAAGACAGTTCTAATTACCAGCGAAGCATTTTGCATCGAGAGTTCTTGATCCGAACAATTCCTATCTTGGAGATTGGAGTCGTAAAGGTAGCAGAGATGAGGTATCGACGGGCCCGACTGATTGTAATAAACCGGGCCACCAGCCTGAGGAGGCGGATTCGAATTCGCAACAGAGTCAACAAACCCGTTGACCATATTCACGATATCGTTAATCACTTGTTTGCTTTTGAAAAGAGTCTGATTAGTGGTTTTCTGGTCAACACACGGGAGAATATTGCTTAGGGCAGTCTCGGCGTGTGGGTTTTCGACCCACTCTCCCATGGCCATGCATGTATCTGTAATTGTACTATAAAAAGAGAAGGAAAAAAAAAACTATTTTTAAAAAAGAAGATGAAATTTTTAAGACGAAATACCGAAGAGTCTAGCTATGTTTGAGAATAACAATTACTTTTTATGTTTTAATTCATCAGAACACTGCTCATCTCTTTAAGGTACGATTTGTAATAGATGAACAATAGTTAAGGGCCTATATGCAATTTGGAAATATAACCGAGTTCTCTTTGTAATTAAGCTAAATTTCTGGGGTATCTTCTCAATTTACTCAGAAGGAAAAGTGCAAAGCAGGAAACAAATGTACAAGCAACGGTTTTGGATGGTCAACTTAAGTCTAGCTTGTTGAGGGCATAAGAAGTTGAGTACAATGACAAAATATCAAAGTGTGATAAAACAAAAACATTTACAAAAAGGTGGAAGTAGATTGTCAAAATAAAGTCTCTCTTACTTGTTCAGAATAACGAAAACTCCACAAAGGATGAAAGTGACCGTCACAAGTAACCATCCACTGATGACACAACTGCACGAATATGATATATGCGGTGAGAAATGAAATATAAGAGGCCTTCCAAATGCCACTGTATTACATCACACACACACACACACCAAAAAAAAGAAAAAAAAAAATATTAAAACT